CAGTTGTGATATTTCCTGTTCTCGAGTGCAGAACATCTGCATCATAATAAAGGCATCTTAGTACTCATATTTATATTGTCAGTCAGCGAGGAAAAACATGCTTGCATTAGGTATTATGAATAGAAATATGTAGGACTAACTCCTATTCCGACGACGAAAAAGTTGTTCAAACTGAAGCGAGATGATGCACAAAAAGAACGAGCCATCAACTCAAGAAATCCAAAAAATGAATATTGAAAATTTTTTTAGTTGCAATACGAATAAATATGGAATTAGTTTTCTCTAAGTCAAAGTCGAGATCAAAAACCTTGTCTCCTGTACATCTCTATTCATAAGCTATTATGTATACGAACGTTAGAGCTGTTTCCACCAAAAATGAAATGAATATTACATTATTTAGAAGATATGATATTTGTTTGTGTATAGATTCCTATATGAAATTTTAAATTATTAATAAATCTCCTACTCATTTATACAGTATTAAACGACAATCCAATAACACTAAATAATTTAACAATGTTCGTTATTTTTATTTAAACTATACACTAGTCAGCTAATTTGAATTAAAGTAACTCGATAATCATTTTTAATATTGTTTCTACTCTATATCACATAATATTTTATAGTTATTCTAATTGAAACTCTACATTTCGTATGAGGTTTCATTAAAATGAACTCTTCATATTAAAAAATTATTTTTGACAATATAAAAAATATTTCTTTTGTTTTTTCGGATAACTACAAAAAACATATTTATTCAAAAAGAACGAATGAAAAACATTTCGTACCACAGGTTTCCTTCATGAATAGAATTTCAATTGAAGAAAAGCATCATTTACATGACATCTTATCTTCAACTCTCACTGTACTTTTCAATAGATAACAATTCACAGAAAAAAAGAAACAAAACAAAAAGAACAGAAATAAAATTTAAAGAAAAAAAAACAAAGAAAAGAAAAATCTAATTTTAACTATCGAACTATAACACCTTGAGCAAGTCTAGCATGATCATCAAGAATATGTTTCATATCATTACAACAACGATTTCCAGGTATTGAAGATAAATTTGAAGGAGAAACTTGAGGAAATATAAGACGACAATAAGGTTTAATTTTTGTTGATTGTGAATGATTGCTTTTATTGTCAGACGATGATGATGATGATGATGATGATGAACTTCCGCCATTAAGTTTATTTTGAATAGATGTATGCGTTTTATGTCGAATATAATGATTATAAAATGGATTTTGATGTAAAACAAATATACATCGTGGTGGTACGACTATTTCAGGTCGTTTACTAATTTCACCAACACGACAACCTGGATGCCAAACAAGAATTTGTGCACTATTAGCCTATGAAAGAAAGAAAAAAAGAAAAAGAAAAGAACGATGAAAGAATGTGAACAAGTTATTAATATTATTCAAAAAATTTACATTTGGAGGATAGAGTACACAAGTTGGTATACGAATATTTTGTTTAAGAATGTCTGGTTGAATTGGTATTGGATCAGAAATAAGTTTTGCACGTGAACCTTGTGGTTTAGTTGGATCAACATTTATTTCAAGATTCAAATGCCAACTTATTGTTTTAAGTACAATTATTGAACCAGTTTTAACATTCATTGCAATAAGCCATGTATAAAAATTTTGATGACGTTTTACATTTGTTAAACGTGATAAACGTTCATTACTTGTTGGAATATCCCATGTTATATGTGGATAAAAATTATCATTCATAAGAACTTTTACTGTTTGATAATCTGAATATGGTCCATGAAGTTCAATTACTTCAGATTTTGAACCATAAAATGGATAATTACGTCCATCAGAATCTGATATCATTGGATTTTGACCAGATACTAATTGAGGAAATTCCCAACTTGAATAACCACAATCACCATATGAATTTAAAAAATCCATACGTGTACATGATTGTATCCAACCAATTTTCCAATGTTCACCTTCATCTAATGGAGGAAATCGAATAGTTGCTGTAGACCTAAAAATTTCAAAAGTAGAAAAAAAAAAAAAAGAATTTTTATTTAACTTTTTTTTTTTTGTTTTTATTTTATATACCGAAAATGTGGTGTTCGATATTTTAAAACAGCTGAACTTTTTTCATCTATTATAGTTGGACGATTTTCAATTTTAGCTTCAAGTTCAAGTATACGAATTGGTAATATAGATTGTTGAGGTTTTTCATTTGTTATTATTCGCGTGACATTTGTACGTTTAGTTTTATCTATTAATCGACCCATTAAATTCATACTGTTGTCAACTGTAGTCGAAACAGCTTGTGATTGTTGAACATTGAGAACAGCCTATATTTAACAAAAAAAAAAGGACATTTGTAGATAAAAAAAACATTTTCTTATACTCATCAACGAAAAAGAAAACGACCATGAATTTATATTACTTTTTGTCTTATCTGATTCATAAGCGTAAGTTAATTCTTTTTAAAACTTTACAAATTTCGATTTGTTTCTTTTTTTTGTACCTGAGAATAAAAAGGAATTTCACCAGACCAATAGCCAGTAGTAGAATATGAATATGTATAAAGTTGCATAGTATATTCTCGTTTGAATAAATAATAGTACTTAGTAACTACTATTAAAGTGAGGAAAAATTAAATTTATAAATTATTTTGATATCGATGATGATGGTGAGAAGGTAATGTTGTCATTGTCCTTCAAGATCATCATAATCACCTGTTGCTGGATCTTAAACGTGCACATAACATTCGTTTTGTCGTCTAATATTAGAGAGTAGTCTTGCGTTTTTTTTCCTCTCTCTGTCCCCCCTTTCCTTCTCTTTTGCTGTGTGTGTGTGTGTGTGTGTCTACTGCTTGTCGATAGGTTTTCGCGTTTTCTCCATTCTACTAAACGCTGACGATGATGACGACGACACTACCAACCAAAAACATCTAGTTTATTTGCGTTCTCATTTACACAGTATCGAAAAAAAAAACAGATAAAGAACAGAACTAATACGAATAACTTGAAGAAGAATGCATCTCTATAAATACGCACAGAAACAGTCGTTATGATATGTCTTGGTTCTCGTCAAAATATGTGTACAAAAAGCAACTAATTGAGAAAGAAATAACCTTGTATGTTTTTTTTTTCTTCTGATTATCGTATTTTCATCTTTATACATACGGTAATTATAAAAATGACTTCTAATACAAAGTAAATGATCAAATAAGAGATAAAATGTATCAATTCAATATCTTCATTTTCAGCAATATCATCACCACTAACTAATACAGTTATCATTGTATTGTTTTAGAAAAATAAACAATAATGATTGTTGTTGATTTTAATCGAATGTATTTCTTTTCGCACATGAAAAAGAAGAATGACAAGTTCAATAAACATACATATGTATTTGTATGACTGAAAGAAGAAAAAGAAGTAGATAAATTTTTACCTTTCTTTATCGTGTTGTCTTGAAAATGTATAAAAGTTGGATGATCAAATACTCNAATTATTTTTTTCGGACATAAAAAAAAAAAAAGAAAAAAAAAAAAAACAAAAAAAATTTATTTGTATAAATGAAAAAAAAAAAAAAAAAAAAAAAAAAAAAAAAAAAAAAGAAAAAGGTACTGAAGTATGTTTTTTTTTGACGATGTCATTGTTGATTTCAATAGAAATTAAATTGAAATCATATAAAATACCGATGACCGTCACAAGTTTGATGCAGAAAAGTATTTAGGTATATTAGTCATTGCGGTTGGACTAATGATGATCGATTGAGTATGTATGTGTGAACAATATGCAAGCATACAAGATATGAATAAAGAAAACGATGAGTGTGAATAATCAGAAATAACGAGAAAGATAGATAGCAATAACAGTGATTGCAATATATAATGTGACTTATCGCGAGTATTTGATCATCCGACTTTTATACATTTTCAAGACGACACGATAAAGAAAGGTAAAAATTTATCTACTTCTTTTTCTTGTTATGAATAATCAATTATTATTATTATTATTAATCTATGTTGTTTGTTTATTTTTATATTACCTATACAAAAATCTTCAAATGAGAATGAATACCTTTCTTCAATGTTCTATAATCATAAATATAAAGAAATATAATATGACATATTTTGTTGTTCTAGACTGACGAATGATCAATTTGACATTGAGACACTCTCGAAAGAGAGAGAGAGTATACATGATATTTGATATAGAAATTTAACAAAAATCAAACAATTTAACTTTTGAGAGCGATGATTTTAAATGTTCACTGTTGAAATCGAATAACAAAATTACCTTTCTACTATTCTTGTATACGTTCAAATGAGATGTCAAATGTGATGATGACAAAAGAGCACATCTGCATCACCAACGTTTTCTTATTATATGTGAAAAAGAGAGGAAAAGGTTTCATTTTGTGTACGAGTCGTAGAGTATATGTATATATAAATACATGTGTGTATGCATTCGAACGATCACGACAAAATTGCAAATAGAGTCTTTCTTCTTTTTTTACTTGTCATCTAATTCCTGCCTAAATATAAGCTAATCTATTTCTTTTTCTTTTTAAACGATAATAATGTACACAAATGATAACAGATGATTTTCGAATAAAAGAAAAGACTAGTAAATTAATAGTAATGATGTAATAGTCTGAAGAATATGTTTCTTTTCTTTTTGTCAAATATAGAATTTTGTTCTATTCAAAGAACAATATTTAAATTTAATTCAATTAATCTATCCTACACAATCGTATTTAAATCTATCCTTGTTTTATATGATTAACCTTAATCGTAAGGACAATATATATTTAATATTATTACAAATACTTGTTTATATGTCTGACATATCTGTTAAGTTTCTTTTCATAAAACATTGTGTTATTATCCTTGTTTAATTTTTTTGTCTTTTTTTATTAGATAAATTTTCTCTATATCACAGAATACACATTCGAAAGGAAAACAAGACACGAAGAAAAGAAGAAAAAACCCGAAACATAGATATTTTTCATGTTCTAATGACGATATTCACGAGATTTTGAACGATGCCGAGATGATGATCTACGATGATGATGATGATAATGATGATTTCGATGTGATCGATTTCCATTATCATTTTCTTTATGTGATGATGATGTTGTATGACGAAGAAATGCATTTATTTCTTGTTCGTACTAATTATCAACAAAAAAAAGTAAATTATTTAAATAATAATAAATTATTATTTACTTCAGTTGTATTTTGAGACATAGATGAAGATGGTTGAGGTAAATACATATTCATTGGATCATTATAACCTCCACTATGTATACTATGAGAATCATATCCCATTGTATAAAGACCGGTTGGATCATAAACCATTGGATAAGTCTAAATACATAAAAATTAAAATATAAGTATGAAATATAATCTAGAAATCTTACTGTTGATGGAAACATAGTTGGCGCATATCCAGTATATTGCGTTTGAGTTTCAAGCATATATTTTACATAATCTTCATATGTCTAAATAAGTGATAAATAACATGAACAAAAAAAAAAGCACATACATTTGCATTTAATCTTACTCCATTAGCCATTATATGTGACATTCTTTTGTCGAGGCTATTAGGTAATGGTGGATCACCATTACTACGATGCGAATGTTTTTGAGTTGGACTACGTTTATTACCATGATCAGAATGTGATGATGCTAATAATAATAAATTAATTTAAAAAGAAAAAAAAAAAAAACAAATTTCAATATAATAAGATCTTTTCAATAATATAAAGAACTATTTAAATAGAATACATTAGCTCAAATATTCATCTTTATGAATGAATCTATCTTATTATCATACAAAATTCAGCCATAATGAAAAGCTGTTACCTTCCTTTTCAATTTCAGCATAAAAGACCATCTCAATAGTTCAAGTATATTATCAATATGTGTCAAGAGCATATTGGTTCAAGAATTTGTCTGATTATAAAGTGCAAAATAATTATTTCATTGTACTTCAAGATCTGAGAATTGTTTGAGTTTAATTACTATGCAGACTTACATAAAATAAACTCAAAGTAATATGCTCGTGATACATTTTGATATTCGACTAGAAATATCTAAAAGAGTTCTAAGAGATACTTTCGACATACGCTTGAAATTCGAAATTTCTTCTGTTATTCCCTTGAGGCTACCGACAAACAAAATTTCACAAGATGTAATAGAGAAGGTCATAGTCCTTTTACTCTCGGGAGGTTAACGCAATCTCTGGAAGATAATAATGTGAAATATAATGTAGCTACTGTTGCTAATTACAATAAAGAAGTAGTTTATTCATGACAATGAGACTTTATTGATATATAGTTGTCGATCGTATATATAAATGTCTGTCATGATCTAGGGGAGTAGAGTCCAACAGATTGGTCTCGGGATCCGAACCCGATAGACTCTATTGAAGGGAAGGGTTCGAATTTTTACTCTTAAATTTGAATCCTTCTTTTAAATTGTGTTCAAGAAAATTAAAGATATCCGCTGATAAGAACAGTATTTATTTATTTTTTTTTTCTTATGATAAACATACTTGATCGATGTCGTCGTTTACGATGTGATTCATTACTGTTACGTTCGCGACTTCTTGATCGATGACGTCTAAATTAAGATTAACAAATATCACGAATTGTACTTTATTTTATTATTTTCATGCATGTAATATAAAGAGACTCGAAGTATTTTCTTTTTTGTTTTTTTTTTTTTTTTTTTCTTATACATAATCGAGTTCTCAATGTTTCGCTAAAAACAAAACATTTGTTTGAAAATAAAACAAATAAATATAGTCTCTAATAAATATAAAAAGTTCTTTTGATGAATTCTTTTTCTTATTTTTCTTTCTTCAAGTTCATTATATAAATCCGTCTTCATCTTGTTTTCATTGTAATATTTGTAACCAATGGATAATCCGAAAAAAGAAAGAATCCCTCTATATTAACCAACACCTTTTTTAAAAGTTCTGTACTGAATTAAATTAGTATAAAATATGATAGCCAAATTTGTAAGACGATTAATTATTAAATAAAGAGTCACGTCTGACCTATGACGATCAATAGATGTGGATGAACGATGATTTATATCTTTTGATGGATTTATTGATAATGGTGATCGAGATGATTTATGTTTTTCTGCTTTTCTTGATATTGATATAACATCCATTGTTGGATCAGGTGGAAATAAACGACATAAAGCTTCAGCACAACGTGGTTCTATTTCCTAAATAATATTAAAAAATAAAATAAAATTATAGAAATATAATATTAAGAAATTATACAAAATACCTGTCCATCACGTCCAATTTTAACAGGTTTATTTTCATTCCATGAATTAAATAAATGTAGAGTTTGATTAAATGGTAAACTTCGTCTAAAAGAGAAATAGAATATTTGTCTTTTAATCGATATAAGATTTTATTCCTCTGTAGGATCCTCCATAGAGCCTGTTGAGTTAATGCCACATTTATCGATTTTGTCATGTATAGCTCGTTACATAGGACAGAGAGATTACTCTTGAATGCATTAGAATTTATTGATTTTAGAGTGAGATTCAAGAATCTTATATAACTGAAGAAAAGATCATTTTCTTTTTTTCTAAAAACTTCCATTTTTGGCAATGTTGAACGCTTCTATCATACATCGCTAAGTATGATAAGTGAATAAAAAACTCGAACATGAAAAACCACAGAATGTAATGAAGGTATTGGTGTGGGTGACGGGTGTGAAGTACGGATACTGTTGTGGGTCAATAAAAAACTTACACCCACACTTTTATATGCATTCATTTGATTCGTTCTAATCGACAATCTAAAACATATTACTCCAAGACTATTTACATGAGTTCATAGAGAAAAAAGTCTTGAAAATTTGTGTTTTTCATTTTGATGTATCCATGCGTCTCAGATTTTTCTATCGTTTTATGCATCAGAAAATTGAATTTGTTATTAAATAGTGCCATGTCTTAGCTACACTTCAAAATCAATCTGAATTTTCTAACATTTCAAATGGCAGCAATATTTAAGACCTACGGACGCCTATATTTTGATTCGTATTTTTAAGTTAGCTCATGTTTGATTCAGTGTATCAAATTAAAACAATTACTATGATATGCCTAACTTGTTATACATATCGTTTCTGAAAACTTTAACAAGATTGAATGGCCGAAAAAAAAAAAAATTTTTTTTAATTCATTTGATTGAATTTTTACTAACCGAGAGACCCAATCGATATAAATAACGCCAGAAAAAGCTCGATTACTCATTCCAGGTGGTAATACCCAATTAATTGGTTGACTATCATGACGAGCTTCACATGACATACGTGCAAAACCTTGAAATGCTTTACTTTCAGCAACTGAAAAAATTAAAATAACATTTCGATGTTGCTAAAATAAAAACAAAAAAAAATATGTTAAAAAAAAATAATTTCATTTTGTTTTTGAATTTTATTTACTCGAAATGCTCGATTAAGTTTATTTTCATTCGCAGGTGGTGTTGACCATACACCCTTAAAAATAATGATTATATTAAAATATTATTAATATTAATTGTTTATTTACTTTAGCTTTAGCCAATGAAACATTTTCTTCATTTCCACTTTTAATTAAAAAATAAACAGTATCATTAAATATGCTTTGTAAAGCACTAATTTCTTTTTCATCTAAAAACAAAAAAAAAGTACTTAAAAAGATAAATATTTATTATTTTATTTATTACTATTTGTTGACATTGGTTGTACATCAATTGAAGTTTGTATTGTATTCATTAATGGTGATTTATATGGTTCATTTTCTTGTGTTATTCTCGTTTGTGAATCAATAGATTCTTCTATTTTAAAATAATTAAAATTAATTCAACATGTTTACAAATCTGTATCCAATCGGATAGGTAAACTTGACAAATTTTTTTCTATTCAGGATGATTTTGATCATTTCTCTAGAGTATCGATATATGTTCGTACTATCACTGATATAGCGCACATTATACTGAATGACCTACAAACAGTTTTTGTTCGGTTTGAAAGTCGAGTTTACCAAATCGATTCTGGATATTAATAAGTGTTATGGAAATTTTTTTGTTTCGAAGAGTTGAGAGTTTAGCTTTTTATTACGAAATAAAGTGACATACTAATAAACAATCTATATAAAAGTTATTGAAGCTTCAATAGACTTTCAGAATATTATATAAATTTTTAACAAGAATAATTGCATGAAATAAAAAAGAAGCTAAAAATATTGTTCATGACAAGATTTTATTCTTTTGTAGAAAATCGCCGCTTAAAACTGGACTAAGTAAATATAAGCAGATATTTACTTGTAACAATATAAATAAAATACTTCAATTTGTTCAGAATTTGATATGAATATTAAATATTTTGAAATATGCATATTTATGAATAACGGTCTGAAATCACTATGATTTTTCGGTACGAATGCAATTCCCGATCTAGATGTATTGTTTTTGTTGTAAAAATTAGTTATATAAACTATCAAAACACATTATACAATGAGTTTCTTAGATATCTAATATTTATTGAAAGGTCATAGGGTTGAAAGAGTGCATCACATTCAAGCCCCCCGTCAAAAATTCAGAAATTGAGATAAATACACGGGGAGATAGTCCGTCATCTGCTCTTTCATAAACGATAATTTGTTTCTCTCGTTACTTCATTTTTCCCAAAAAATTTTCAAGATTTCCGTCAACCCCTATTCGACGAACCAGCTGTTGTTTGAAAAATCAAAAAATGTTTTTCGTTTTTTCTCAGTTTCCGCTTTCTCAAAAGCCCATCCCAAAGTTTTCCTTCCTGGTTCGTTCAATATATTAATATTTTTTTTTGTTTGAAAGAGCATCTCGAAGCGCAGGGCATGATGGGCCACTTTTTTTAATTAAGCCTTTGTTTGATCAATACACAGCCAGTTATATGATTTGGTTACCATTTTTTGACACTTTTTTCAGTAATTGAACTTGTGATCTCTTTTTTTCGCTTAAAAAGGAACTATTTCAAAAAAAAGATCCCATCATACCCTGCATTTTGAGATGCTCTTTCCAAAAAAAAAAATATTAATATATTGAACGAACCAGGACCAACAAATTTGGGATGCCCAATGAGTGATTTTTGACCCTTGTTTGGTTCATATCTCCCTAAAATCTGAAGATTTCGGGTCGAAAATTTTGTGGTAGTCTCCCATTTCCAGCTCCAACGTATCCTGAAAGTTTCATGCAATTTGGATGTTCCTGGGCTGATATACATTTTTGAGGGCGGGCCTTAATCGATTTATATTTTTTTTTTTTGGAAAAACTTTTCTCACATCATTTACACAATCCTTTCAGTTGATAACTCTAAGAAAGATTTTTCATATTTGAAATACTATTGGTTACGTTCTATTGCAATAGTAAACTTAGACTTCTTTGCTTTTAAATTCAAATCTGTTCTCATGTATGTATTGGATCGAGTGTAATATATATATATATAAAGTGGTTAGAATCTCGATATTTACCATTAGAATAATGATCGGCTGTTGTAATAATATTTTCATTTGATATTTGGGTTTCAAGATTATTGACATTTGTTAGTTGAAGTGGCGTTATTTCATCATTTGCTTCTAATGTCTAACAAGAAAAATAATGGTATTTTTAAAGATATTAGAAAACTTTTCTTTTTATCTTACTTGATCCTCCTCGACGAAAGTATTTTCAGGATTATTGGATTCTTAAAATAATAAATAAAATAAAACTCTTTTTTTGCCTCAGATATAAATAAATAAAAAAAACTCAACAACAATTTCTATTCAAACATAACCAAAGGAAATAATTACAAAACATAGTATTGAAAAAGTTCTCAAGAAAAGAACACATGATTCTATAAGCAAATAGATAAGAATGAGAAATATGCCTGCTAGTTCAAAGATTTTGATTTAATTTAAAAAAAAAATATATATTTCAATCAAAAAGAAGAAATAACGATTAATTTGTATTTTATTACTCATTAGTAAATATATTATTTGACTATTTCAATATCAATAAGAATGAATACCAATTATTTCTAATAGCAGGTTTTGCCAAGCAGAAACTAAATGTAAAAAAACATTTGTTACACTTGATATACAAATTGTTTTATGCTTTGCTTTAAAAAGTATACGAGACACTTTAGTGAATAAAATAACATATTGTTTTCAACATATTTAAATGAATATTTAATTAGAAATAAAATAAATGTTATTTATGGTATTATTTTAGGATATTTTTTTCTCTTCTAGATGTTAATCTCTCTTTGATGTGATGAAATTTTATTATTATTTTTAGATGCATTATTTAATGGTATATTCGTATTTGTTCACTTTGATACACTAATTATGACTAAAACAAGTGTGCATGTACAGTTTTTTCTAGTATAAATTAAGCGTGCAAAAACAATTTATTTATGATTTTTATTACAAGCACTGATAAATACGTAAGGAAAGAAAAAAATGAGAAGTTCTAAAAGTTTTTGAGCAAATACACAAATGAAAAAAAAATCAACATAAATACAAAGTCGAAAATTGCTGAAAAATTATTAAATAAAAATTTTGTTTTGTTTTTTTTTTTTTTCATCTCGAAAAATCCCAATAGTGTAATTACGACTAAATGACGTTTTAATTTAAATTATGAATCTTTCATACTTTCGAAAAGTTTTAACAATAAATACATACTTGATACTGATGAAAAATCATCAACATCAATTTCCGGACATACAAGATCAAGTTCAACTAGAAAAAAACAATAGTTATAATTAAGAAAAAAATAGATTTTTGACAAATGTTTTTCCTACCTCCAGACATTTAATCTTTCAATAAAAAAACGAAAGGAAAGAACAAAAACAACCATTTTGATTTATTTCCTATTATTAACCTCTACATTGAATTCTATAACACATTTATACACTTATATAAAAAAATCTTTTTTATTACATTTAAAATTCATATTTTTTTTATATAAATATTTCTAATAAATAATTTTCTGATATAATTTCAATAAAAAAATTTTCATAAACAAATTATTTGGTATGTCCATACAAATCATGGATTGGTTTGTTTTATTCGTTTCATCCATATTTCATATAAAGATACTTACGGTTACTGTGCTTTAAAACTTTTTAGCTTTTCTTGTTTTTTTTTTTCCTAATTTTTTCTAGATCATAAGAAAGAACTTTAACAACTTAAAAATAAAACATGGGTGTATGTATTAAAATTATTTTTTTGAAAATTTCGTTTTTTATTAAAAATCTTATTTTGTTCTAGTATCGTGGTATTCGTAAACATTTAAAACGACTTCATGCACCAAAACATTGGATGCTTGATAAATTGGGTGGCGTTTTTGCACCAAAACCATCATCTGGTCCACATAAAACACGTGAATGTTTACCATTGATTATATTTTTACGTAATCGATTGAAATATGCATTAACATATGTTGAAGCTAAAAAAATTTGTAAACAACGTCTTATTCAAATTGATGGTCGTGTACGAACTGATTTTCTATTTCCAGCTGGTTTTATGGGTTTGTTTAATAAAATAAAGTTTTTTTTTTGGTAAATATTTTATTTTTAGACGTTATTACAATTGAAAAAACCGGAGAACATTTTCGTTTAATTTATGATATTAAAGGACGATTTTGTGTTCATCGTATTACACCAGAAGAAGCTAAAGTATGTTTTAGATGAATTGAAAATATTTGTCAAGCGATCGATATGAATTGAAAGCGGCCCGGTTTTTTTTGTCAATATATGTTTAATCGGCATTGAACTTTCAACTCTGAATATTGAATTAAAACTTCTTACTATAGAATGAGTAATCTCGCAATATTTTGAATCCATTGATGAAGGTCAAAAAAAGTTACGCATCAGTTCATAACTGGACTGACAGAGACTATGTGTATTTAGTAGAGGTACATGAACTTTGAATATCTGGAAAAATTTTCGCGCCCTTAACTTACTGTTGTGAAGTTGATGCATTTTTATGGTATTTTTTAAGTAAATTTTGTGATGAGAGAAAACCTAATTTTCGTATTGAAACTCTACACAGAGACAATTTTGAACGAGAATAATTCTTTGCGAAAGTTCCAAATCTTCTGGTTTATATGAAAGACAAGCTATGAGCATAGTTGTATCTTAGCATAGAAACGACGATAAGGTCTAAAACATTCACAAAAGAATATTCTAGTGAAGGCTTGTCCTTATGCGAAGTTTCAAGTCGAAAATAAGTTTTTCTGAACCTCAATATTCATTTAAAATATTCCTATAAAAATGCGGTATCGTTGCAGTTATAGACTAATAGTATGAAGTTTATTTCCAAATCGAACATTGTAATCATTTAGTTTTCCTATGGTTAATAGTAACTGATAAATGGGAAAGTCCTTCAAATATGCCAAATAAAAATTATGACTTGTAACGAAGTCCTATATAAATTGCTATATGAATCAAAATGGGGATATATGCACGCTTCATTCAATCTTAGTTCTTTACAACAATTGTTTCTTTGAATAAATTCTTTTGTCATAGGCATATGTGAAAATATTGGCCCTATTAGCTGACTATTAATTAAAAATTAATTAACAAATATATCTGTAGTCATATGAGAAAGAAACACAAAAATTTTCGGGATAGAGTCTACAACTTGAATTTCATGTTGCAGGTTACCAAGAGTAACTTACCATATAAAAATTGGCTCTAAAAAAAATGTTCATTATCCCTAAAAAGACATGTTTTTTATTTTGTGAATTCTTATCATTAACGAATGGTTTTGTCCATTTATCATTTGTTGAAAAGTACCATATGATAAGTTTTCAAAATAGTTTTCCTTTAGTTCTTAGTATGGTGGTACATGACGGACAAAATAAAATATGTAGTTTGTTAATTTATATATATATGAAACAGTTCCGTTCCAAAGTTGATCTCGAATTTGTAAAAAAAAATTTATATCTTTTATATAACACATGAAAAGCAAAGATAATTTATTTTATTTCTTTAGTATAAATTATGCAAAGTTAAATCCGTACGAATGGGCCCAAAGAAAGTACCTTATATTATAACACATGATGCCCGAACAATTCGTTATCCGGATCCACATATCAAAGCCAATGATACAGTTCAAGTTGATATTGCTACTGGAAAAATTCAAGAACAGATTAAATTTGATACAGGTAATATCGTTATGATTACTGGTGGACACAACTTAGGTCGTGTTGGTATCATTCAATCACGTGAACGTCATCCAGGTTCATTTGATATTGTTCATGTTAAAGACGCAAATGGACATACATTCGCTACTCGGTAAAAAAATTCATTTATTGAAAAAAAAACAATATTTATATAAATTTCTTTTTAGTTTGGCTTATGTATTTGTTATTGGTCGTGGACAAAAATCATGGGTATCATTACCAGCCGGTAAAGGTATTCGATTATCAGTTGCTGAAGAACGTGATCGACGAATTGCTGGCAAAACTCAATAAATATCAACAATAAACTAACATCATTATTGCGAAAACAAAAAGAACCGAAAGAAAAAAAAAAAAAAAGAATTCTCGATGTTTTCTTTATTTGTTGATAAAATAAAAATAAAAAAGAATTGAACAACTTGATGTCTAAATAAAGACAAAACATTGTTTTAGATAAGATTTCGAAAGAAAAAAAAAAAGAAAAAAGAAAACACAATGGATATTGATGATGAAGAAATTTTGAATGAATCAACAAATGTTTTAAATAATGGAATAACATCAATAGTTGATACAGATTTTTATTTAGCATATAAAAAGTTACCAAATAAAACTGCTGTAACTATAAGATTATTTGAACGTAATGAATATTATACATGTCATGGAGATGATGCACTTTTTATTGCACGAGAATTATTACATTCAACAAATGCATTAAAATATTGGAAAACATCAGGTAAAATGAGAAGAAAAAAAAAAAAAACAACAACAATAATAGAGAAAACGATTGATTTGTTCTTGTTTTAAAGATGGAAATAAGCCACTTGAAACAATTTATGTATCAAATAAACAATTCGAAGATATTCTTCGTAAACTTTTATTAGTTAAACAATATCGTGTTGAAATTTGGAAAAAAACTCAAAAAACATCTAATGATTGGACATTAGGATATCATGTAAGTTCGATTGAATCTTTACAATAAACAAGAATAATCCAACTCGAAGAAGAAATATTACGCATCCCTTCGGATTTGATTAAATTGTACTTTGAAAGTTTCTAATCAAAATTGAATAGGCGCTCCGAAACTACCAGAGTTGACTAAAAGTAACACTTCACTGATAGTTACTTGTTCAAATTAAAATTGTTTTTCGATAAGTAGAACTAGGAGAAGCCTAAAACGATTCTTTCTATGGATTTTTTTTCGCTAAAATTATCACCGTTTTACTTAAATATCGATGTGAATTTTTGCTTATAAATAGATATCAGTTGGAAATATTGCCTCATTAGTCATAAACTAATGAATTTTCTAAACTGTTAATTAGTATGAAAATTCTAAATTCGTATCTATCATTTGCCATTTTATTTTCAATTACTTCAATGTATATATATATATATGTCTATAATTACGTAGGGATCACCTGGCAATTTAACTCAATTTGAGGATATACTTTTTTCATCATCTTTAACTTCTCAAGAATCATCAGGTGTACTTTCATGTAAATTAGTAACAGAAAATGGTGTTACTGTAAGTATTTCATTTATAGATTTGAATTTATCAGCAGATTATATCGTTAATATGAATGTTGTGTTTTAGATGCTTGGCTTAGCATTGATCGATGTACATACATTAACAATTAAATTATGTCAAGTAACTGTATCTAATCATTATTCAAATTTAGAAGTAAGAATAAAAATTTAATTTAATTTAAATGCAAACATTTTGTTCTAAATTTAAAACAGACAATTCTTGTTCAACTTGGTCCAAAAGAATGTTTATTACCAACATTTACATCGACAGAAGATAATTATTTACGATTAAAAAAAGTTATTGAAAAATCTGGTGTACTTGTTACGGAACGACCAAAAGGTAAAATATAAATATTAATACATTACAATCTATATATTTTTATTGTTTAGTTGATTTTTCTTCAAAAGATATTAAACAAGATCTTTCTCGTCTTTTAATTAAAAGTAAAGATGAAGATAATGATAAATTTGAAATGAAAGTTGGTGTTATGCGTAAGTATCTTATTTGTCTTGTTTTTTTTTTTTGTCCTATTTGATATTTTTCTTTTTTAGCTGAAATGCAAATGGAACATGCTAAATGTGCATTATCAGCTGCTATTAAATTTCTTCAAGTAAAAAAACAAAACGAATTTTTACTTAGAAAATTTTATTATTTGTTTTTTTAGTTACTTGGAGATAAAAATCAATTAAATCGATTTCATTTAAAAACACATCAACCTGATCTATATATGAGACTTGATACAGCAGCTATGATTGCACTTAATATTTTTCCTGATAGTCGACAACGACCAGATTTCAGTTAGTTAATGCATTTTTTTTCTCAACTAGGAAAAATATCGAAAGAATTTTTCTATTATTATTTCTATCCAGAAAATTAAATATTTGCTTTGTAACTGTTGTTGGATTAGATCATACAAGCAAAATCATCGAAAAAGGGACATGACGATCTTTAATTCTTTATAATAGTTATTTCTTTAAACAAAGTCTTTTTCAATGAATATATGTAGAAATGTTGGCTCTTTCATTTCACACTTAACTGAACGTAATTAACGAGTAATTCTCAAAATTTATGATGGAAAAGTTCAAGAATTTTAGAATAAAC